GAAAACAGATGCTATACTACTGTAGAATAATAATAAATTGTATATAGTTGAAGTTTAATGAGAACAGTGAGTACACTAATGTGAACATATTACAACTAAAACTCCCATTAACTGAAATTGATTTCTAGAACACATGGATTTTTAGAATATTAGAAAAATATAAGGAATCAAAAACAATTTGGGACACTCTAAAGAAAAGTGTTGCTCTTTGCATATGTGTGTGTTTTGTTGTGTTGATCATCCTTGTACTAAAAGCTGTAGGCAGTAATTGTGCTGTATTTAACCCCTAGTTGAGCTCCTATGCCAAGGCCTAACAAAATGCCCCAGGAACAACAAATGCACAGGGCTGAAAAGCACCACAAAGTAGAACGTGAAAAGTAGAGCACTTTGACAAGGATATCTTTAAATATGTACCTTAATTTGAAAAGAGGAACAAGTCCCCAAGACACTTTGTCATGCAAACATCACACGATGGTGCAGAAAGTGAACAATTCCTTTTTCTATCTGGGTCTCTGGAGGACGAAGGAACTGGTGGTCTTTCAAGCTCTCTCCCAGTTCTCACATCCTCCGGTTGATCTGGCTGTTTCCAGGTCAACTTTAACTGCGCAGATGAACCTACGGATACCACTTCTTAACAGCTGACTCAAAACTAGTAGCTGTCATTCTAGCTGCACATAGGAACCAACCGGGAAACAAACACACACACACACACACACACACACACACACACACACGGAAATCAGAGATCAAGATTGACCTCATCCTCCATGGGTCTAGGATATTTTAAGTGCTCTTCAGGGAGTCTACCTGAAAGTCAGTCTTCAGGTCTACAGATTGAGATTAAAGGCTCAGATCAAATGCACCTAGTTTGTCTAGGCATGAAAGGAAGATGAGCACCACAGCATAGGCTCACAGAGCTGGAGAACACTGGCCCTATACAAGTCTCTCCAACCAGCAGCAGGAATAAACCCGATTTTTAGGGTTTTCATTTAGTTTGAGATAAGGCCTTATCAAGTAGCCATGGCTGGACTCAAACTCACAGAGATACGCCTACTTCTGCCTAGTCTAGAGTTCTGGAAATAAAGGCATGTACCACCACAGCCACTGACATTTGTTTAAAAGGAATGATGGAAATATGTGTGTAAAGTGGCATCCTAATTTTTACCCAGCAATTAACTCAAACAATGTTAAAAGTGTAACTCACACAAATCAGGCCATCACACACGCGCCCATCATCAATTTGCAATCACAACAAAAAATGACTTAAAGGCAACTTTTCTCAGTTCTGCCCTCTCATCAGCCCCTCTCCTTCCACACCTCAGGCCACCTATCCCTTTCCTTTTCCTTTCCAGCCGCCTTCACCACTGCAAGAGATGGAAACTGAGATCCTCACATTACATCTTCATGTGATCCTGGCTGTCTCGCTGGAAGGGCCTCCAGGCCTGGGAATAATACAGGCCACGTATTGTAACCTGAGGCTACAGCCCCATGATGTCAGCACCTGGGCGGTTTGGTAAAATCTGAGGTAAAAGCCAGTCAAGCTTATATAGCTTCACACTGCTAAGATTGCATCAGGCGACACCCAGACACCCTCATCTAATCTCTGATGCTAGGTCTGTGTACTCTGCCTTAAATCTAAACCACTACCCCTCCTGGTTTTGTTTGCTTGGGCTTTGTTTCCTTTTCATTCTCCTGTCCGGTCTATCTTTGGAGATGGAGTCGGTGCCTTGGTAGATTTTCAAAGACACAGGTTGAGTCAACTGTGGAGCTGGGCTGAGAACCACTAAGACTTTCTTCAAGTCTTCAATTGGCAGTGAACTTAGACTAAATAGGCCTGACTTAGCCAAAGAGTCCCCTGGCTGGTTCTCATTGTATCTTCACAGCTCTGGATGGAAACAGTGAGGCGTCTCTACCTGTTGACTGAGTTGCCCAGTTATTGCAACCTCGCTGGCAAGGAGACTTTCACTATAGTACCACCCTGCCCCCAAGCCATACTGGCTTCTCAGTAACTGAATTCCTCTACCATTAATTGACTGGCTTAAACCCCATAATCACCAGAAAACCAATAACCAAGCCATCAAATCGTACAAATAAGAATGTGTGAGTAACCTCATCTCCATCATCTCTAGGATAACTCATTAATGACCACTGGCATCATCCTCGTTTAATAAATGGCGCGGGGGGAGGGGGGGATCCTGAAGCACAGAGAAACTCAACGATGTGCCCCAAGTTCCCTAGGCCATTAAGTTGCAGCCGGCCAAGAAGACTAATCTAGCAGCTAAGCCTTGCCGTCTACCTCCCACTGCTGGAAGTGAGACTGACCAGGAGTGAAAGATCTTATGAAAATATCACTGAAGGTGGTCACTAAGCACTTCTAAGGGGCAGAAAAATAGGACCCTGGTTAGGCTGTCACAAATATACAAGACTTCAGGAGGCATTCTAGTCTGGAAGCTAAATAGCCTTTGAGGCAGAAAAGTACCTGGGGGCAGGTGGATTAGCCGTGTGCCCTGGGTGAAAGAGAATGTCATTTGGGAGAGGTAGAAAGAGGTAAGGGGTCAGACTGTGACAGTTCTGGGCACCTGGCAAAGGTGGGCAGGTGGGAACTCACTGGAGAGTGAGGGCTCTACAAAATGTGAACAATTTTTAAAACAGAATAAAACATAAGACTCTTGGAAGTGCCCAGATTGAGCTAGGGCAGCTGTGTTTAATATGGATAGGAACAACTGGGCAGCTGTTACATTGCCTTAGCTGACTGCTTCACTCCCGAACACAGAGACACTCAAGGCACCTCCCATCTCACAATCCCTACATTGCCAGGATTTACTTGATGGGCTTGCACATTTGCAGACACAATGACAAGTGAGGGGCAGTTTCAATGGCTCGTTACTGCTCAAAAGTGAGAGCTGAGGTAAGAGAAAGAAAAACAGATCAGAAGGACTAAAATGTTTCAAACTTAAGAGAAGAGGAAAGGGTTATGGGTAAAGGAAAAGGAGAGATGATCTATGGTACTGTAAAGGGCTGGGTGAGCTGCCTGGCCAAGGTCACAACCCAGCAAAAATGTATTTAAACAATCCTTGTGTCCCTGGCATTGGAGGAGGAAAGTGAGTGAGCACGGTAGCAGGTGCCAGGGTTAAGTCCCATGCTCCCTTCATCACAAAGCAAGGTAAAAATGTACATAAGCAGCAAAAGTTTAAAGATTCAAAAGTATCTTTAGATCTACTTGTCTATCTCTGAATTATAGTCACCCCTGGGTACAGCTAACACTGTTTCTTCTAAAATCTATCCCTAATGATTCAGAGAGTGTATCTTTTCTCCTCATTAAGAGAGGAAGACACTGTCACCTCTCACACAGCTCCTCCCAATGGGTCGCCTTATCACAAGCATCCTCGGGTCTCATGACCCTGTCTTATTTCTTCACAGCCTGAACACCTGGCATTTCTGTATTCGTTCATCCGTAGCCTGTTTCCTGGTGATAATGGACATGGCAAAGGAGCCGGAACTTGATCTGATTAGTTGCTGCCTGCTACACAGCATCCACTAAATTCAGCACCTGGCTAAAAAAAATTTTTTTAAAGACCTGTTAAGATTAATACCTCAATCAAACTAGGCTGCTTTTCCATTGCTTCCAGCCACACGGTGAGAATTAAGTAACTAAACAGCACAGTCATTTAAGTCATCTGAAGGCTGAGGTCGGGAGGCCATACCAGATGGGTGGCGGGACTTGCCAATTTCCCATAGGGTGAGTTATTTGACAATGAGGCCAGCCAGCTCAGGTTTTATTTCCGTTGTCCTTCTGACGTCAGAAAAAGCACGAGTTGCAGCACCGTTTCTTCCATCAAGGTGACAAATTACAGCCTTACTGGCCCTGCGTTCTGCAAACCATACATTTCTTTCCCCCTCTCTATATGTATGTATGTATGATATATATGTTTAACAAAACCATGCAGAGGTGCCAAATCTCGCAAATGCATACCGTTTCCTAGCAGTGGATCGTTTTGTCTCGTCCACGCACAACACGTCTATCCGTCTGAGAATAGTACGAGATCCCCAAAACCAGTGTGTTTTCCACCGAAGGAACAGGCTAGCGAAAGGCCGGGTCCATGCAGCAGAGCGAGACACAAAGGACCGGAGTAAGCGCTACCTTCCTCGGCCCGAGGCAGCTTGTGAAAGGCAGTCCACGGCGTGACGCGCTTACCGCGAAATTCCTTTTGCCGCCATATGCACTCGTGTGTAGTGAGAGCACAGTTGGGCCGAAACCAGGCGGCGGGCGATGCGCCGGGGAGGACCGCGCTCTGTTCACAAGGGTGCGGAGGAACCCCGCGCCTAGAGCCGGACTGTCTGGTGGGTGAGGGCGAGCTACACCAGATCTCGGGAGCGTTTCCTCCTCGCGTGGAGCCGGCCAGTTTAAAAGCCTTTTGCCGCAATGTTTGGGGCCAGGTGCGGGGGAGGGGAGACCAGGGCACCAGGCTCCGGGTCCTGCGCAAGCAGTGGCCTTTTGTTCTCCCGCCCTGGTGGACCCGGCTCTCGCAAAGGAAGTAGCCTATCACCGGCTCTTCTTCGGGAAAGAACCTCCAGGGCAGGAGGAAAGTGAGTCACTGCCAGCATCCTCCCATTAATCGGAGCAGAGACAGGGGCCGGCCGAGCACGAGGAGGTGCAGCCAACGTGCACCTGTTTACCGCGCTGGGCAGCCGGAGGCCCTAGAGGGTTCCGAGATGTAGACTGACTCACTCCTCGGTGTACCTTCCGTCCCTCTCATCGCATGCTTGACCCCTAAACCTCGAAAATGGAACTAGATCTGGTGCCACACTCCACCATCATGAAAAAAATAAAAGTACTAAAAGTAAGCCACGGTGCGCAAACGGTAGAATCCGGGGTCCCTGCGTTCGGGGAAGGGCACCGCCATGCTGTGCCTGGGTCCACGAGACATGGAGGATGTCCGCATTGTCGCTTCCCCTCCCCTCCACGCCGCCGCTCCCACTGCCCTCCGAACGCACCTTACCTCGAGAAATAAAGGGGAAGGCGCCGCCAAAGTGTCCGCTGTCCCCGGCAGTTAGATGTCCTTTGTGTCAAGGTCTGGCTAGGGAAAGGTAGTACCTCGTCAGCAAGGCTGGGCGGGGAGGATCGTCTTGGCGGGTTTCGGAGGAAAGTGAAGGGCCGGGTTGCCGGCGACCTTCAGGCAGAGTGGCGTGGCCGAGGCTGTCCGGGCTCTCCTCCTCCCGGGGCTGATTGCATCAGAGTTTCCCCCCCACCCACACTCTGCCCGCCAACCTCACACTTACATCCACACGCCTGGCGCGGAGAGGCTCCAGCCTGACTCATTGGCTACCGCAGGGCGCGACGCCCTTTTGCTTCTGCAGTTTGGGGACAGGAGCACGGCCTTTCAGACCATCATCCCTCCCTTCCCGTGCGCCCTACGAGCTGAGCTGCGTGTGGCGGAGCGGTGTGGGTCACATGCCTCTGGTCGCCGCACCTTCGAGCCTCTCTCCCTGGCTGTAGGACAACGCAGCGTCCCTGGTTGGCGGAAACCGAGCATCCACGAAGTACAGTGCGAGCGATGCAAGACCAGCGCGCAGATGCTGCCTGCCCGAGCTAGGAGCCTGCGCACCGCCCAGTACCTGCCCGCGTCCTCCCGGGGACTCAGCTGGGGCCACAGCTGCCGCACCCGCACCCTCGGGGTTGGAGGTGGAGCGGATCACTCGCCCAGGCGGTGGCAGGGGGCTGTCTCTTGGGGTACGCCAGGGCCGCAGCGAGCGGAGTTGCATTGTGGGAAGGGCTCAGCGTGAGGGTAGCCCAGCGACCCTGAGGCGGTGGCGGTCTATGGGACGCTGGGACACCTTTGGAAACCTGGTGTCCCGAGCCAGCGGCTAAGGCGCTTCCCCTCTCCCACCGCGACACCTGCAGTCCTCCTAGAGCAGCACTAGAGACCCCCTTGGGGCGCTGGGTGTGACAATGACCCAAGGGGTCTACGCCAATGGCCCTGATGCCCCAGCCACGTGACGCTACCCTTGATGGGCCAGAGAAGGGGAACAGGGTTCCTCTTCCTGCCCCCCTCTTTGTCTGAGGTGCAGCCCCTTAACTGAATAGGCACTGGCTGGCACAGTCTCTTCTCCTTAAAATGGCGACAGGAAATCCCACCTGCGAGCCAGCCAATGAGACCACCACCGCCGCGGTGTCTGCAGGATGGAACCTGAGCCCCTCTCACTCGATGGATCCTGTTACTGGTCTGGTCGGAGATTCCGCAGTTCGACCATTAATAAATTTTAACAAAGAAGAGGCTTTTTATTCAGATACTGGCGCCGGGTGGGGATTCCGGAAAGCAGCACCCAGCCACCTCTGCCAGGGGTTTATGAAGGCAAAGAATACAAAGTTACAATTTGTTCTCCTGCAAGCTTGTTTACAGAAGCAGAGCCAGCAATAAAAAATTAACCCTTAGTGGCCCTTAACATTTGGAGGTTTAATTTTGCTTCATACTTCTCTTAAACAGAGATTTTAAACTTTTAAACATAAAGTTAGCCATCAACAAAACGTTAGCAATTTCAGCTCCATCTTTCTGTTCCATCGAAACAAGAAAACGGCGGTTGAATCATAATTTAAAAATGAGTCTACCTGGAGCCTGTCAAGCAGATGAGTAATGCTGTTTTGCAGTGGTTACAGATTTTCATTTTCCACTGGAAAAATGAGAGGACAACCAAGATTTAAGCTCCTTAGTGACGAAAAGTCTTGCTCCCTTCCAATGGCAGTAAATGGTCGCAATTAGTTAAACACTGGCTTCCAGAGAAGCAAGTAGAAGGCGTGGTCTTTAACATGCCTGCAAACCGGAAAGTCATTGCAAACAGAAGGGCAGCTGAGTCCAGTACAGGGCAGTTTCTTCCTCAGACACAGTGTCTTTTCCCTGGGCCACTTTTGTCCTGTTGCTGCTGCTGCTTATGGAAAACTTACAGATCACAATAGTAATCTGTAGGTTTACACCAAAAAGTCTCGTTTTACCTTTCTTTCTAAAGGTTGAAAGTGATGTTTTAAGGTAGGATCGTAACTTTGATTACATTAGACTGAATAGGTAAACTGAGGCACAGCTCCATAAGCCTGTTGGAAGATGAACTTTGTTAAAGGAAGATGTACACTCATTTGTGTTTCAGAGAATCTGATCCCAAGACTTTTAGCTCAGATTTTAACTTAATTTGTCAGCTCCTGAACACAAACTAGTTGTCCCTTGATGTTTGAATACAACAATTAGGAACCCAAGTCCTTCATTCATCAGTTTCTCTGTTTAGCATTCACAGTTAATTTAATATTCACATTTAAACCTTTATACACCTCAATGGGGCATTAATTGTCCTCTCGATAAACAAGAAAGCAGATTCAAAGAGGTAAAATTGACCACATTGACAAAACACAAGAAGTAGAGGTGGAGAAGGGATTGTCACTCAGGTCTGATTCAGAGCCTGTTAGCCATCCTGAGAAGTTCAGTGCGATCAGACATGGGTCTTCACCCCCTCCCCAGGGCATTTGTTGACACTTGCATCTGGAGAGGAGAGTGTATTTCATGGTCCCTGTGTCAGAGAAAGACTCTTGCTGTGTGGAGACATCCTGGGAATATGGCAGAGGCAGTGTTAAAGAAGTGACTGGCTATAGGGGAAACTTCCCTTTTGAAGTCCTTTCAACCAGTCAGTAAGTTAGCCCAACTGCTGTAGTCTTACCGGGGGCCTTTGAGTGACGCCATAATGGTTTCCCCACTCCCTATGTGCTTAGTAAGAAGCCAGCAGCAGGGTAAGCATTTTATACATGGTTTCTCGTTTAATCCCCAGAACAGGACATGATGCTCTCTCTAACCCCTGATTAAAGGGCTAAAGAATTTATTCCAAGACCACACAGCTGAAATCTGCACATCTAGGTCTTAAGCCTAGAAACAGTTATCTGAGAGGTTCCTGGATTCTGGGACCACCCTGTTTCCAGGTGGGAGCCTCTGTTTCCAGTTTGTTTAGGCTCTGGGGGGCGGGTGTCAATTTGCCCTGTGTTAGATTTGTGAGCACCACAGGCATTGATGTTAGGATCTGACTTACCTATCTACCATTCCCAATTGAGCATACTGTCCAAAATCGTCAAATTTTACCAAGCTGTCCTAAGGGACAGAAAATAGAATTTCTTTGAAAAGACTAATTTCAGCTTTATAAGGAAACAACAACAAAAAACAGGATAACTAAAACTACCCTGACTATAAAAGAAATATAAAAGAACTGCTGAAGGTAGCACAGTCCCTGATTATCTATTATTATTATTATTATCATTATTATTTTGGTTTTTTTGAGACAGGATTTCTTTGTGGCTTTGGAACATGTCCTGGAACTAATCTCTTTAGACCAGGCTGGCCTTGAACTCACAGAGATCAGATCCGCCTGCCTCTGCCTCCCAAGTGCGGGGACTAAAGGTATGTGCCACCAACGCCCGTCCCATCCCTGATTTTAAGTTGTTCTGTGGAACTATAGTAATAAAAACAGACCCATTGAAGATCCAGACATAAGTTCACATACCTATGGACACCTGATTTTTGACACAGAAGCAAAAAATACACACTGGAAGAAAAGACAGCATCTACAACACATGGTACTGGTTAAACTGGGTGAGTGCATATAGAAGAATACAAATAAATCCATACTTATCATCTTGCACAAAACCCAACACCAAATAGATCAAGGCCCTTCCTCTAAGGAAGATACACTAAATCTGATAGCAGAGGAAGTAGGGAATAGTCTTGAACTCACTGGTCCAGGAAAAAACTTTGTGGACAGAATACTGGTAGCACAGGCATTAAGAACAACTAATAAATACATGGGACTTCATGAAACTGCAAAGCTCTCTAAGCCAAAGGAAACCATCATTTGGACAAAGAGGTAGGCTACAGAGTGGGAAAAGATCATTATCAATTACATATTCAAGAGAGAGTTAATATCTAGCATATATAAAATCAAAACTGGTCATCAAGGAAACACATAACCCAATTAAAAATGGAGTACAGGGTGGCAAGATGGCTCAGTGGTTAGGAGCACTGACTGCTCTTCCAGAGGACCCCAGTTCAATTCCCAGCACCCACATGGCAGCTTGAAACTGTTTCTAGCTCCAGTTCCAGGGGATCTGACACCCTTACATAAACATACACACAGGCAAAACAACAATGCACACATAATAAATTATTGTTTTTTAATGGAGTACAAAGCTAAACAGAGAGTTCTCCAAAGATGAAACTCAGACAGCTGAGAAACACTTATGGAAATGTTCAACACCTCTGCCCATCAGGAAATGGAAATAAAAACTACTCTGAAGTTTCATCTTACCCCAATCAGAATGGCCAAGATCAAGGAAACAAATGACAGCTCCACATGGCAAGGATGTGGAGAAGGAGGAACACTCAGGCATTGCTGGTGAGGTGCAAACTTGTACAGTCACTATGAAGACCAGTGTGGGAGTTTCTCAGGAATCTGAGAATAGATCTACCTCAAGATCCATCTATACCACTCTTGGGCTTATACCCAAAGGACTCTTACGTTCTACTACAGAGACACTCGCTCAGCCATGTGCATTGATTGCTCTATTCATAATAGCCTAGATGTTCGTCAGCAGATGAATGAATAATGAAACTGATATACTTACACAATCAAAAAATTTTCAAAATTCATGAATGCTCAGGTTAATGGATGGAGCTTAAAAAATCATGCTAAGTGAGATAACCCAGACCCCAAAAAATACTGTATGTATTCTCTAATATGTGTGTGTTAGCTTTTAAGCCTTTGATAAGCCATATGGCCATCTGTATATCCACAGAAGTTAGATATTAAGTAAAGGACTAAGAAAAGGGGAAGGAAGGGGAAATAGAATGTGTAGTTATAGAGAGACTGGAACAAGAGCATTAAATGAAGAGGGGGAGGAAAACGATAAAGAAGGGAACAACAAACACTAAGGCCATTTGAGGGGTCATATGAGAACCTACTGCTTTAGAAGCATCTTAAAATCTACATGTGATGGCTATTTTGGCTTTCAACCTGACTACATCTGGAATTAACTAAAACCCAAAACTGTCAGGGCACACCTGTCAGGGGCTTTTGCTTAATAAATCATTTGAAGTAGGAAGATCCCCTTCTGATCCAGATCTTTGAGGTAGGAAGATCTATTTTTAATCCAGATATTTTGAGATGGGAAGACCCATCTCTAATCTGGGCCACACCCTCTGCTGGTAGCCTGCATAAAGGACATGGAAGAAGGAAGCTTCACTCTTTGCCTGCTTGCTCTTGCTTTCACTAAGTAGCAAGTCCATTTTTTCTATTGCATTGGAGCCTACTTCTTTTGGATTCCAGTGTATACTGAAGGTCAGCTGAGACATCCAACCTTATACAAACTGAGCAACTACTGGATTCTTGGACTTTCTGTTCATAGGTA